CGTGCAATAAATTTTAGGAATAAGATTTATTATGTATGTAATTTTTAAGATAATTGTAAAATTGAATGCGTTTTATTCATTCGAATTCGAACTAGAAATAGATTCGGGTAGTAATTAGGATATATTTAATTTGTCTTGGAAAAGTAAATTAATTACAATAGAATTATTGATTGTTAAAAATGTATGAACGAAATTAGCTACGTAGTCAAGAATTGGAATAAATACTAATAGGTGGATTTGTAATCCAATACAATCTTCCTATTCCTATTAAATTCGCATTTTACAAGTTTTTGTAGATTAAATTAGATTCAATAAAGACCACAAATCGCTTTTGTTTGTTTGCTTTGAATTTAATAAAACATTAGTATACTTTATTAAATTTTATTATTAGTGGGATGATACTCTCAAGTCATCAAATCTATTACTTGTCGGAGAAGATGGGACCGGTCGTCGAACGGCTCATGAACGCCTTCAACAATTTCTCTGGTGCAGCAGGATAAACTCGATGGAGGAAGATGAGGTCGGGTCCTTCTGGTGCAGCATGTGAAGTAGTGTACATATGCTTTCTTATGCTGCTAATGTTGGAGGGTTTGAGATAATTGGTGCCGGCGCTGGAGGGTTTGGTAGATTTGGGAGAAACAGTGGTTTTGATGTGGTTTGGTATTGGGGTTAAGGGTTTGAAACATTGGGTCCGATTCTTTTTGTTTTCTTATTTTTCTCTTTCTTTGGGTAGTGGGGTTAAGGGTTTGAAACGTTGGGCCCGATTCTTTTCTTATTTCTTATTTCTTCCTCTTTCTTTCTTTAATTGCCGCTTTTTCCATATTAGCAGTCACCCTTTCTGTAATCCATTTCGGTCACCATAGCCCGATTTTATTTTAGATGGAATTTAAGGAATTGTCCTATCTTGCTGACTGGTTTGAAACGTTGGGCCCCGTTCTTTTCTTTTTTTCTTATTTCTTCCTCTTTCTTTCTTTAATTGTCACTTTTTCATAGGTCATCTTTCCGTCATCTATTTCGGTCACCATAGCCCGATTGTCGACAATCGGGCTGACAATTGGTGACCGAAATGGATGGCAGAATGGGTGACCTGTGAATATGGAAAAAGCAACAATTAAAGAAAGAAAGAGGAAGAAAAAAGAAAAGAATCGGGCCCAACGTTTCAAATCCTAATTAGCAGGTCACCATTTCTGACATCCATTTCAGCCACCATAGCCCGATTGTTGATGAATTGGGATGATAAGTGGGTCCCCTAACAAGATATTTTAGATGGAATTTAAGGAATTGTCATATCTTGACGACTTCAAATCCCGTTCATGTTCATCTTCTTCAAATTCAAAACAGCAATAGTGACTCACTGGATGAGCCGTGTAATGAAGGGAATTGTCGGGGACCTTAAACTTTCCTATCTACCGTTCTGAACACGGTAATTAGTAGAAAATAATAGTTCTACAAATCTCACCATGCGATTCAGTGTATGAACAAGAAACACAGAATGAAGTCTCTCTTTTTAATTTGTTCGATGCCAGTCCTTATTACCTTCATTTTTCTTCTCCTCTCTTCCGTACAAGGACTTTCATGTAACATGCTTGATCGTGATTCTCTTTTATCATTCTATGAACATATTTCTTCCCCTCCACCGGCCAGTCCTCTCAATTGCTGCAAATGGGAAGGTATCACTTGCAATAGCGAGTCTCGTGTCACCCAAATATCGTTACCTGGTAAGGGT